AAATTAATTAATTAATTTATTTATTTATTATTAACAGTTTTGAATCTATTTAAAAAAAATTAACAATATTTTTTTAAAAAAATTATTATTATTATTATTATTAAATATATATATATAATAACTTTATTTATTTTAATTATTTTTTTTTTGTTTTTTTTTTTTTTTTATTTTTATTTATTGTTATTAAAAACATTTTTGATTTGTACGGTTTTTTTTTAATAATAATAATAATAATAATAATTAATCTGTTTTTGTGATTATTAATAATAATAATAATTATAAATTAGTTGAAGTCAAATAAATAAAATTATTTTAATTAAATAATTTTTAATTTTTTAATAAAAAAAAATAATGTAACCGTAAAAATAATTTTAAATTTTTTTCAATTTTTTAAAGTAAGTAATAAATAAATAAAATCAATTAATAATAATAATAATAATAAATTATTAATTAGCATGATTGACTAAATCCTATATAAATATATACGTTGTGCATTTTTCGGTTTATTTTTTTTGAAAGTAAAAATTAACATTAATTTTGTTTCTATTTTAATTAATTAATTAATTATTAATTTTTTAAATCAACATAATAATAATAATAATAATAATAATAATAATAATAATAATAATAATAATCAATCAAAAGCAGATTAATTAAAAAATTTTATTTTAAAGCTTTTTTTACCTGATACACAAATTAAAATTAGCAAAATGTCTACTACCTGTTTATATATATATATTATTTTATATAAAATGTTTTGCTAATTTTAACGGTAATCCACCATTTTGTTTTGTTACTTATGTATTTATTTATTAATTAAAAAAAAAAAGCCGTACAATTATGTTTAAAATAATAATAATAATAATTTAATAATAAAATTTGTTTTTTTGTTAATAAATTGAGTTATTGCGATGCAAAAACAAAAAAAAACAAAAAATTAAATAAATAAATAAAACTAATTTACTTATTACCCAAAAAAAAATTATAATAATATCTATTAACTATTAATGTAACTAAATGATAATAATAATAATAATAAAACTATTTTTAATGTATAATATAATAAGAAATAAACTATTAAATTACATTTAATTAAAAACTATTTGTTAGAAAGTAGTGAGTGACCGAAAATTTTTTTTTTTTTTTTTTAATTATTTAATACCAACAACAACAACAACAATAACAAAACAAAAAAAACTCAAATAATAATAATAATAATAATAATAATAATAATAATAAAAGCTAGACAATTAACTAAACAAAAGCAAAAAACTAATTAATAAATAACTCAAATAATAATAATAATAATAATAATAAAATATAAATTTTCTTTTTTTTTTTTCCTTTTTTTGTTTGTTTGTTTTTAACTATTATTATTATTATTATTATTAAATTTAATAATTTTAATTATATATATATATATTATTAAAAAAAAAATTTATTCGTTAATTTTTTTCTTCTATGTTTATTTATATATAAACGCGAATGAATGAATTTTTTTTGTTTTTTGAAAAATGTACTTTTCGCGGTAAAAGCCCGACGATTATTTTTTTTTTTTCGTCTGCTTTTTATTTATTTATTTATTTTTTTTCACTATTTTTTATTCATAATAATAATAATTATTATTATCATTATATTAACTCGATTTGATAAACGTTTGAAACTCACACTTTGGATCGGAACACAGAAATATAAATAATAATAATAATAATAATAATAATAATAAACGACACGACGATTTAATCCAAAACAATTTCATAATAATAATATAATAATAATAATTTATTTCACTTATTTCATCGAGTCCGGAACATCCTTTATAATGTTTATTATTATTATTATCATTATTATTATAGTTATTATTGTTATTATTATTATTATTATTATTATTATTATT